CACACCAGTTCCCTGGGAAGCGAACGGATGGGTGGGTGCGTGCACGGATGGTGCGGAGTATTCCTGCAGTACCTAACCTCAGATGCATTCCAGTCAACAGTTTTTTAACCCAACTCTCCATTTTTAGAGGCAGAGCATTTTAAACCCCGTAGCGCGCTCAGCTCTCCGGGCGCAGCAGCCAGAGGGCCCCTTGGAAAGGGCTGCGGGAATCCGCGAGTGCGGGAAGAGCAAAGCCCGCTCGGGCCTCCCCCGAGCGCCTGCTGCGCCCGCGGCCCCTTTCCCTCGCCGCCTTCAGCCCCCGCCAGCGCAGCCACTCCGCGACCAGGGCTGGTATAGAAAAGCCACCCCTCGCAAGGGACCTGCAAGTCACCAATACAACTCAGCAGGAGACTCTCGTAGTGTCCCCCTCCCCCGTCTCTCTCTTTTTACAGCTGGTTTATTTCACACGCGTCGTGGAAAGCACCACCAGCCCAGCTCCTACAACTTTTCCACTCCCGGGCAGAGCGTGAGGGTCGCCTCTCACTGCGTGATTTTCCACCTCCAAGAGTTAAGCTTGTCCAGAAGGGAGTGCTGAGCAAAGCTCAAGGCCCCTGGAACTGCGGGAGAGGCGGGAGCCGGGGTTCTGTACTCGCCGCCGCCTCCGCCTCCGCGCGTGGAGAGGCGGGAGGCAGCCACGCCGCGCGGACTTGTCAGACCGTCCCCCGCCTCGCCCTCTGCCGAAACTCCCCGCGTTACCTTTGGGCTTCCCAAGGGCTCGGCTCAGCCCAGCCCCGCGCCAAAGCTCCGCACCCCGGGGGCTGAGAGTCCTGCGCCCCTCCAGCCACTTCCCATCTCCACCAGAGGCGCCCAGGCGCCCCAGCGTCCCCGGATCGGCCCCCAGGAAATGCCCACCCGGCGTCCTCACCCAGCTTTGCCAGCTCCGCTCAGGGAGGGTTCAGCGGCCACCGACGGCCAAGTGAGCGGGGCAATCGCTGGTGCCCAGGAGCGCCGCTCCCTCCTGCCTCCCCCCGTCCCGTCTTTCCTCAGTCTCACTCAGGTACCCGCACCCTCCTTCCTGCTCAGCCCCGCGCACTCGCTCTGACTTTGCGAGCACTTTTCAGGAGAGCCCAGGGCGTGCTGCCTCCTCCGGGCTGCCTCCAGCTCCTCTCGCCGCCCGCCGCCCGCCCCCGGCCAGCCCAGGGGAGTGCCTCCAGCCCCACGCACGGCGTTTCCCAGGGCACTCCCCTGGGTCCCGCACCCAGTGGCGCGGCCCCCGCCTCCTCACCTTTGCAGAACTGGGGGACACAGAGACTGAGCCCGACCAGGAGCCAGGCGGCCACCGAGCGCTTCATGATCCCTTCTCCACGACTTGCCCCGGGCTGGTTAGGAGTTGCAGCAGGGGGGCGGCGTGGCGGAGGGGGCACCGCAGGGCAGCAGCAACCCCGCCCCTGACGGCGAAATCTGGAAGATGTCTTCTTCCCGCAGCGCTTCCTTAAACAAATTCTTGGGGAGAGCGAGA